CTAGGATGACAAAGGAAAGGATTCTCTTCCATTTTTAATTCCAACATAAAGAAAGAGAGTCTATTCTATTCTATCCCCCCCCCAAAAAAAATCCCCTTGACATTGGTCTTTTATGGGAATGTTTGCTAATATTCCTTTCATGATAATTATGATCAACTTAGCTAATTTTCTAATAAAAAAATAACAAATAAAGACCCTCTAACATGTAAAATTGCAACTTAGGACCCTCAGTTTGAAAAATGACAAACAAAGACTTGGTCCCATATTGTAACTATGAAATCTTAGTGAAATGTCTAAAATACCCCCCATTCAAATGACAAGTTGACTATGAGAAATGACAAGTTTACTTTAGCAAATAACAACTTCAGTAGATCAAATCACAATTTGGCTAAGAGACATTTCAGACATTTCATTAAGATTTCATATTTACAATATGAGATCGGGTCTTTATTCGCTATTTCCTAAATCAAGAATCCCAAATCATAATTTCACATATTAGGGGGTTTTTATTTGCAATTTTTTCTTTCTAATATTTAGAGATAACTCTGGAACTCCTTTCAGCAGATATTTTCCTCTCATATTCACACATGCATGAGCAAGCCTTCCCAAGCATTAGTCGGGGCCATAATAATATTCCGTATTTGCCCAGTCTTTATTCTTCCTTCAGACTCGGATTTTCCTCACAATGGTTGTCTCAGAGACTTACAATCTCTCACTTAAAAAAAATCCAAACGAAAATGCCTAGTGTCTACCACTTTACTATTATTTATAAGTCACTTGTAAAAAAAATTTTGTCTTAAATATAGATAATTAATGAGTTTTCTTTTTTATTCAGTTTTACCTTGTTGAATTAATAAATGGAGAGAAAGATAAAGTAAATAACTGATAAAAAATAGAAAATATATTTTAATGCATCTCTTTAATAAGGGCAAATGTGAAAAAAAATTATCAATTTAATAAATTTTTTAATTTGCAGTTTTAGGATACAAAATTTATAAATAGGAATATAGTGTAATTGTTTTTTTAATTATACATCCAACCTCGTTATGATTTATCAAACGCGTTGGGAAAAAATAAAATCTCATTGATTTGCTCTATCATTAAGATGCTTTTGCTTTCATGTGTTTATAAGTAAAATTGAATGCTTTGATTTTAAATGTAAAAATTTAATAGGCTTAATATCATTTTTAGCACTTAAAATCTAAAATACTAATTTAGGTTTACTTCATTCTCTATCATTTTGACGTGTAAGGTGGCTAAATTCGAAAATAATAATTTCAAGATTTTTTTTATAGAATTGTTCCTTAGTTCAATGCTTTTATGCATTGGTCAAAATTATCAGCTCCCACTTATTCATAATATAAGTTACCTCAAGTACAATGACTTGATCCAAAATATAAGTCACTTAAAAAGTAATTAATACTATATTTGTCACTTTTCTCCTGACAATTAATACTAACTCCTTATAATTTTCTCTCTTCTTGCGAACCTTATTTAATATGAACAAAGTTTTAAAAAATTTAGTTTGAAATATATTGAATGAATTAATTATCATTTCTTGATATTGATCAATTGATTAAAATGATTTATATTATGGACCGGAGGGACTAGAAAAATTGTCCGCTGATAATTTCATTTTATTTTTTATCATGTTGCAGTATAAAAATTTTTTTATGCATACTTTTCTTCTCTTTGGGACAGCATATCTTCGAGGTGACGAAGCCACATTTAAATTATTATTTAAGAAAGACCGCAGGAGCCATGTGCGTACGCAAACATAGTAACACATTTTTATATCTTGAATATTTTGATTGTTCATTAATTATAAACGAGCTTCCACCTAATCAGTCTCAGCTTTTTGCAAATTAAATTAAGAATCCATAGAATATCAAAACAACATTCACTGCATTTTAAAAAAGGCAAAAAAAAAAAAAAAAAACAAGAAGAAGAAGACGACGACTTGATAAAAGATGTGGCACGCCACCAAATTTACTAATGCACGTATACCAATAACATATATTACTATAGCTAGTGGTGCTCATGTAGCATTAGTAACATGATGATGAATACTTACGAAAGATTAATGAAGCTCTTTTATTTACTCATTACACAGTACCATACCTTTGGACGTCTTTAACTAGACATGACTGCCATCTTTTGCTGTTGCCGGTGGCGGTGGTGACCAGGGTGGTATGTACGGCAAGTGTATGGGTGGTAGCGGTGGCGGCTGCCTGATGCGTGGCAGTATGATTGCAAAACACGGAGAGATGAGAACTAAAATGGCAAGAAGGAGGAAGAAGAAGAAGGGCAATGGTGAAGCCATGATGTTATGAGCTTTGTGATTGTGTTTTGGCGCATGGAAGGAGCAGAGTGAGATTGGTTTATATAGGCAAAAATGAGGAAGGCTTTGCCCATTAAAGTTCATTTTTGAAATATCAGAGGTTTGGTGCGGTTTGTGCAAAATATTCATTGGGTACATAATATAGAACTGATTAATTAATTTGAGTAAATTAACGAAGTTAAATAAATTATTTAATTTTTATAAATAAAAACATGATTTAGTTAAAATATCCTATTTATAACATCACATTATATATAAGTTTATAAATTAGATAAATTAGTTATGATACGAGCACCACTCACAGTGAGAAGATGTCCATCCATGAACCACAAATGAGCACAACCCATAGTAAATGTTTGTTATACTAAATTGGCAATGAAAAGCATAAGAGTAGAGAAATTTGTTGATAACTCTGGTTAGCTCTGGCTAACTAGCCCATGCCATAGCAAGGCTATTTGTTACATCATCATATTAATTATTGTATTTCGTATGTTACTATATACTACCTCCGGTCCTAATTATAAAAGTCAGTTGACTAGTTTAAGGAGATTAAGAAAGTAAGTTGAGTTAGTTATTTGTCTTAAGTAAGTGTTGTCTTTCCTAAAATATCGTTGTTAATCAAGTGTATTGACTAAAACTATCATTGTTAGAAGGGCTACTTTGGAAAAAAAAAAGTATAAATATGAAAGACAAAGTATATTGGGGTCTTATATTTAAGACTAAAATAAAAGTCAAACAGGGTCTTATATTAAAGACCGGAGGTAGTATATAAAATATTCAGTGGGGTTCAGCAAACAAACATATATTGTACAATATATATATATATATATATTTATGTATGACCATTCCAATAACTTTATAATCTACTAGGGTTATGAATTAGTGTCTATATCTGAATGGGTTACTCAAAATGCTGTGTTCCTAAAAGCATTATAGTATGGTATTAGTTCACATGCCACACATTTGGACCACACAGTTACTACTTGACATTTAGCTAAGATGATTAGATGACAGTGTTCGGGATCGAATAAGTTTAGGTCCCCTCTGGATCATTTAAATTCTGTCTGGATGGTCCAGATTTAATATTTTCAATTAATTATTTTTAAATAACAAAAATTATTTTTTGAAAAAAGTAATAATTAAGATATGATTTTTATTTTAGATTCTATACCCATTAAATAATTATTTTAAAAAATAAAATAAAAACTAAATTTAGACCGTCCATATTAGATCTGGACAGTATAGATGAGATGAGCTTTGGGTGTTCATCTCTAAGATGAGCACCACCTAGACTAGTTCCGTTTGGAATATATGCTTATAATAATTCAAGAAATTTTTATTGAGAGAAGGACATACATTCCAAAAATGAAAAATTACATTAAGATTGCATTTAGTAGGAAGCATTGAAAATAAGAAATTAGGAATGAGATTGTAATTGAGAAAATCTATTAAAAAAATATTTAGTATAAGAGATTATTTGTTATATGGGATTAACTAGACCCATATATATGGGATTGGAGAATACCATGGGGGGAAGTGGTATTCTCCAATCCCACATTTATGGATTTGCCTAATCGCATATAACAAGAAATTACTCATGCTAAATACTATTTTAGTGATTTTTTTCAATTGCAATCTCAATCCTAATCTCTTATTTTCAATGTTTCGAACCAAACAGGACCTAAGTGAATCATGTCTGAGGGTGGCAATGGAATCGTAGGGTGGCCTCTAACAAATGTCAAACCTAGCTACATTCAAATCCCAAAGGTTTCCTTGGCCTTTAACATAACAATCAAATTATAATAACGTTATTGATTTATATGAAAATAAACAATCATTTATATGCACTGATTAATTTTTCACATATTTAAAATACGTAATGTTTGACTAATTAAGCGATTTAGGGGTAAAATTAATATGGTGAAGTATAAAATTAAAAGTAAATATATTTTTAAAAGGGCAGGAATAAGAGTAGAAAATTTGTTACTTTCTCATGTCCTTTTTATAATATTTAAATTTTTGAATTGATCCAGTTCCTATTATAAGATTCACAACTATACATATATGATTGAAACTTTTGTTCAAATTTTTCTTTCCAAAGGGGTATACCGCTGGGGTCTGGGACAAAATCAGTAATGGATAAATGCATTTGATAGAGTTGAGATGATGACAAAACATCATATATAATTCGCAACGATTCCAATAAAAACAAAAACTTTAGTTCATTCATGAAGGATTCATGGAAGGAAAAAAAATTTGGGCCATCCATAAATGAAGGATTCATGTAAGCGGCTAACAACAGCTGAAGTGGCGTTGAAAGAAACTTTAATTCATTCATGAAGGATTCACGAAAAGAAAAAAGAGAACTCTTCAACAAAACAAATCAGAATGTCCATCTAAATGAAGTTGTTCAAACTTTCTGAACTCTGAAAGCAACATACACCACGAAACATGAAATACAAACACATACACATATATGTGGTTACAATCCAAAGCAAGCTATTACTTACAATTATTAAACATACCAACTCCCTGTAGCAAAGAAGTATCATAAGAGCTATCCACTAATTCATATGACAATGTTGAAAGTGGATAGTTTTTGCTTAATTGCAAGCAACTTTGCTAAAACATCTTTGATATCTATTCTTCCACCGGGCAATTATGCACAGCATGCCACGCCAATCCCAGCAAAGCCAGCCAGACACTCTCGAATGTTGCGTTCCATATTTGAATTCTGCATAATTTTCCTATGGTCTCTATCAGATAGAACAAGCAAATTTGGATCCACAATCTGAAGGACTCTATCAGGTAATGCTAGCATGCAGAATTTGGGTAGGCTTAGATCCTCATGAAACATGCTCTCTGTCGGCTTCTTTTCAGCGAGCATCTCAAGCATAAAAATCCCGTAGCTGTAGTTATCCCCTTTTGTTGTAACTTGGACACTTTCTCCATACTCTAGCCAAACATTAATATCTTTATATAAAATATCAAATTCCATAATAAGTAAAGTTACTTTTAGGTAAAAACGGACATTAAAAAAAAACAATTTACTGATATACAAAATGTTTAATATTGAAGTTGAGCATACTCAAGATTTATTTTCTATTAATTAATCATTACTAGAAAAAAAATCAAGGTATTATTGAACAACATAAAAACAACGACATAAGAAGGAGTTATACCTGGAGGAATATAGCCAATTGTTCCCTTAATTGCTGAAGATTTAGTTTGGCCCACACTAGAGTAGCTTGTAACTTCATGAAGAAGCCTAGCTAATCCAAAGTCTCCTAAGTGTGCAACCATATCATCACTAAGAAGAACATTACTTGGCTTGATATCACAATGAACGATAGTTTCCTTAAAACCAAGATGAAGATAATCCAAAGCATGAGCCACATGTATGGCTACATCCAATCTTTGTCCGAAATTCAAATGTAAATCTCTAAGTTCATCAAGTTCATTCGTGGACAACCAATTCTCCAAGCTCCCCTTAGGCATGAACTCATAAACAAGGGCCTTAAAATCATTGCCATTGTAATCAACGCTTGAACATGAAGTCAGAATCTTCAAAAGATTCCAATGCCGGACTATACTAAGAGTTTCGGATTCTGTGATGAAACTCTTTGATGCCCCGTGTGCTTGAAGATTGAGCACCTTCATGGCAATAAAACCTTCAAAGTGCCGAAGAGTTCCTTTATATATAGAACCAAAGCTTCCTACACCAACCAAATTGGATGAAGAAAATCCATTGGTTGCATCATGCAGCTCTTTATAAGAAACCCTCATATGAGCATTTTGTGAGGAAGAAGGGGAGGAAGACAACTTTTTATGTTTTCTTCTCTTGAAAATGATGAGGCAAATTGCAACACAAGTAAGAGCATTGCTTACCACAATGATAAGAATTATAACTTTGAAAGGCTTCTTCGACTTACTTGGGCATGTAGGTAGCTTTAGTTGAGGTATACCACCACAAAGATCCTCGTTTCCTGTGAGTGAAATAGCTGTGATATTATCAAACACTCTTCTTTTTGGAATCTCACCATAAAAATGGTTGTGAGATAGGTTCAAGGTGTCCAACATTGGATGATCTTTTAGTTGTTGTGGGATTGTGCCTGACAAGTTATTGTTGGAAAGGTCTAAGCTGATGAGGGATTTCAATGAACTAAAGGATGATGGGATAATTTCATGAAGAAAGTTCCCACTCATGTCGAGATTTGTCAACTGTAAGCATTCCCCAAGTTCCGTTGGAATATTACCAGAAAAATTGTTTTCACTCATATATAAGCCCCACTAATTGCTTCAAGTTACCAATCATAGATGGAATGGGACCAATCAAGGAATTGGAAGACATGTCAAGATCTATTAAGCTTTCTAGATGGCCAAAGGTTAGATTTGGTACAATGCCGCTTAAGTTATTTTGATGCATGTACAGGAATTGCAAACCTTTACCACGTTTGAGGCTTACTGGAATGGTTCCCTCAAAACTATTATCAAACAACGAAAGGACAACCAACTTAGTAAGATTTTCAAAGATATTAGGAATTCTACCAGATAATTGATTTTGGAATAGGTATAGGTTTCCAAGATTTTCAAGCTTTCCGATCGAATGTGGAATTGTGCCTTGAAGAAAGTTATATCCCAATCTAAGGCTAAGTAATCCATCTAATTGCCCAATCTCATTAGGTATGCTTCCAAAGATATGATGGAATGTCGAATGAAGAATTTCAAGCTGGGAAGAGAGATTCCCAATTGAATTAGGCAATACTCCACTAAATTGATTTTTCGAAAGCACTATTGAATGCAATTGACTACAATTTGTTAAGGATGAGAGGAAATCTAGGTCATGACCTTTTCCACTCCCAAAATTATTTTCGTCAATCACAAATGTATGAAGTTTACGTACTCTTCCCAAATAGGTAGGGAGTAAGCCCCTGAAAGCATTTTCATATATTGCAAATAGTTGCAATTGAGAGATGCTGCATAATGAATATAGAATAGTTCCCGTCAACATGTTGTGTCCCGCATTAAAATATCGAAGATTTGGGAAAGCAAGGCCAATATTTGATGGAATAGTTTCAGACAAGTGGTTGAAAGCAAAGCCTAGATGTTCCATGCGAGAAAGGTTATAAAGTGAAGAAGGGAATTATATCAGAAAGGTTGTTTTTACCAAGATGGAGCACATACATATTTGACAGCCCTCCAAGTGATCGAGGTATACTTCCTTCCAAATTATTAAATGAAAGAGATAAACGCTCCAAGGATGAAAGATTTCCCAAGAAAGCTGGAATGTTTCCATGAAATTTATTATCATTGAGTCCCAACGCTGTAAGTTGTGGCATAGATCCAAACCACATGGGAATTTCGCCGATCAAATTACTGGCACTGAAAAAAATTTGCCGGAGTTTAGAGCAGTTGGCCAACTGTGCAAGAACTTCTGCCTCAAAATAATTTTGGCTCAAATCGAGAAACTGCAATCGTTTGAGACGGCCAATTTGTTTGGGAATTTGACCATGCAATCCATCATACGAAAGATTGAGCAGTTTTAGAAAGGTTAAGTTACCTAATGCTGGTGCAAGGGTGGCTCCAAAGTATTGGTTTGATAAGTTCAAAGCTGAGACTCTCATGTGGTGGAGACTGCATGTAATGCCTTGCCATTTGCAGAAGTGGACAGAATCATTCCATGAAGGCAGGACTTGTGGAACGCCATCGGTTAACTCATCCTTGAGAGAAAGCAAAGCAAGCCGATCAGTGTCTGAGCCAGTGGCCATGGCAGCTGTAGTTGGCAACAGAACTTGAGAAGCTATGCATAACAGAAAATTGACGGTAATAATGTAGGGGATCATCATTTTGATTGTGGCGAAGGAATCTGCAAAATGAAGCCACATACTCAACAACAAATCATGTACGAGCAAAGTGTATCTAACGAATAATGGAGAACGAAAGAAAAGTTCATGGAGCTTGTAATTGAGCAAAGCACTTGCTTTGTTATAATAAATAATTATCGAGATTCTATGTGGACCAAGATAGAGGTAAGAGTAAAGACTGGGCAATTTTGATTGGAGAATGTTATTATTAATTGTTGACCATATTATAATATCTACGTTATTTTATTAAACTCTCTTCAATTGTTTAATCAATTAATTTTAATGTTGTGCTGTATTTGAAATAAAAAAGTAACCTGTTTCAGATAAAAATTGAGCACAGTTGATAAAATATATTTTTTATTTTTGTATTATTTTTTTTAAATTTTCAAGTCAACCATCATGTTATAAAGATTTATTATTAAATCTTTATACTTTGCATAATTCATAATTGATATTTAGCCCTTGCTATATTTATTATGCAAATTTAAATTTGAGTTAATTTAATTTCATTACTTGCATAAAATAAGTTAATAGATATTCACAATATTTTGATAAAAAATGAATGAACGGGAAAAGACTCGTAGATACTACAATTTAATTTTATATTTCCAATCAATCGCACATAAAAATTTATAATTTAATTCCTAAAGCACTCCCTAACCACTTCCATTGGTGAAGGAATTTACAAGATGAACCGACTCGTTGGCGGCTAGATCTCTAAAATATACAATTCAACCAATTTAAATTTTCTTCCTAGAAAATGGACTAGCTGTATTTGAATTTAAGCAAAGCATTTCCAGTTTTTAATAATAAATAATTAAAAATATGAGTGCATATTATAATATTCAAAAGACTTTCAGAAATTTTTTGTGCACCGAAGTAGAGATAAGTCATAGAGTAAAGACTGGGCAATTTTGATAGGTGAATGATAATTGCTGACCATATACTAGAAAATTAATATAGAATGAATTATACAATAACGATTTTAGTAGTGAATGAACTTAGGATGTGCTTTGTCATTTCAATTTTCAGTCTTCATCATGCATGTACTTTTAAATTAAATGAAGTTTATATTATTAATTAAAAATCTTATAGTTTTAAGAAAAACACTTAAATTTTAGCTTTACAAGAATGATATTCAAAAGAAAATTAAATAACACTGTACGGCCACAAATATTATGTTTTATAGATAATTAATGAGCTTTTTTTTTTTTCAGTTTTACCTTGTGATTTAATAAATGGAGAGAAAGAAAAAGTAAATAACTGAGAAAAAAATAGAAAATATATTTTTAATGCATCTCTTTAATAAGGGCAAATATGAAAAAAAAAATTGTCAATTTAATAAATTTTTTAATTTACAGGTTTAGGATACAATAGATGTATAAATAGAAATATAGTGTTTTTTTTTTTACCAGAGGAATATAGGAGAAATTCTTAGGTGAACCTGGTCTGCCACATCATTTGTGGTATGATCAATCACAAGCTAACAACTCACCTAATTTTAATCCTACTTGGCTGATGATTCAGCTGCCCCAATCAATTCAAATTTTATTTTCTAAACAAAATAACAAATAAATAAACCTTTTAATTTTGGGGGGAAAAGTCACCGAGGGTTCGAGGTTCAAATGGAGAAATTGAAGGGGTTAGCCCAGCCTTACAAAATCTTCTTTGCCAGGGGAGAATGTAGCATTGCCGCCGGAGAGTCCGTAGTGTTGCCGGCGAAGAGTCCTTAGCTTTGTTGCATCTTCAATTTCAGTTTCACTTCTAGTGCGCGTTCTTCCTACGGCATCTCTCGCGGCACGCGCTCTCCATCAACTGTTGCACCTTCTGTCACATTTTTTTGTTTTAGAGTTGGTCTTGGGTAAAGAAGGTTTGTAGCCGCGGATGGCATCTTCAAACTCTAGGTCTCCACCGATGCCTGGAAGGGACAAATATTACAGGTGCTGGAACTTTTCTTTTATCTTTGCGGTGCTATGGCAGATGAGTGTGATTCAATTTCTGGAGGAAATAATTTATTTCAACTTCTGAAATTAACCACACACAAAAAAAGAGGGACTCGACAAACCATGGAGAACCCTGACTCCACTCGGCACATCCTCTCCTGGTGACTCCCCTATACTCGGGGACCCGAGCCAATGAAGTTTGAAATTTTAAGATTGCGACGATGAGGAGGCGTTGCCCTGTAAGATGGCCTGAATCTAAGATCGATTTCTCCCCCTAGGTGTTCTCCCGCTCTTCTTTCCCCTTCTATGCAATTAGTCTTTCTACTGCGCCGGCTATGCAGGACACATTACTTGGGAGCCATGAGGGTTTCAGCAGAAAAGAAGTTGGGGCTAACAGAAAATCGCATTGATCCACCAATATTTAGGTAGAACCTCAAGTTCTGTATTCATGTGATAATTTGGTCACTGGAATGCATTGCATCATTATCATTGCCTTCATAAAAAAGTCATTATTCATGTCAAAATCAATATATATTTTCGTGCACTCTAAGTTTATTGTATCTTTGCTGGATATAATCCAAGTTTGCTATATTGAGTGGGCGTAACGTAACGAAATTGTTCATATGAATTCTTGATATAGTTTGCTTTCGGTGTAGGAATAAATTTCTCAGCATATGGACTTGCTGTAAATATTATTCTGCTTCATTTTTCTACTAAATTTTGGTAATAAAGATTTGGACAAATTTGTGATAGTTGATTTTTGATTGTCAAAGTGCAGGATACGCAGAAAATTTGTTGAAGCCAGCATCCAGTGGCATCAAGTAAAGGTGATATTGGTGGAATTATGAAAACTCATGAAGGACATTCGTTTAGATGAGGAGCAAGTCTCAAATAAATAATACAATCATGGAAGCTATGAAAATCTTGTTTTGGAAAATTGCTTATTTGATGATAAATTAGAGTCAAGTTGATATTTATTATCAGCTTTTATAAATGGCCTTTGGGCTTCAGAATTGAACATATTTTTTGAAGTCTTGGTTTGAGGGCCTTAACAAGCTAAACGGTGTACATAGCGACACTAGGATGGGAAGAGGTTCAAGACCTTGTTGGGATGATTGTGGTTATGTATAGTTGTATTTTCTTTACTAGTTTGCTTGTAAGAGCCAGTTTTAGCTTGGAACCTATATCAGATTGAATGAATGAAGTTTTTTTATGCTTTTCACTATTACTTTACATCAATGCTAATTTGCGCGGGTTCAACATGATATATGGTGGTAGACTTTTGACAGTTTTTTATATATGTAGGTGTACATCTCATATGAGATGGGGTATATGTGGCAACTTAATATAATAAAGTCGATGCAAACTGTTTGCTGTGGTTTTGAAAACAGAGCAACAA